ATGATGGTGCCAACTTGGGCCAGTGAAGCAACATCCTCCACAACTAGATTGAAGAACAAAACGACAGCAACTTGTCTGTTCCCCTTCCCCCAGTTCCCCAGCACTGTTCCCATCCCCCCAATTCCCCAATAAAAATCTTTAAAAAAAAAAATTATGTCAATATAGGACTTCATGATCGATTCTGCTTAATTGTGTTGATTGAGTCACCAGATTTGTTATAAAGAACATACTATAACCAATTTCCACAGAAATGTGAATGGGCTGTAAGGGAACATAAGGTGAACAAGGGATATGGCTACTGGTATATCTATGGCAGGGAAAGCATTCTTAACTTTAAGTGTTAAATGGTATCACGCAGCAATCATACACTATCATTAACTTTCTCCTATGCTGTTCAAAGTTAGACAATAAATGGACACTAAGGTGAAACAAGAACAATAAAATATGCTATTGTAGGTGTCAAACTGTAGAACTAGAAAAGAAGGGTGAAACAGATCCCATATATAACTGAAAATTATACATATTGAATTATAAAACTGAACACAGAGAGAATCCAGCATTGCAAGAAGAGACGTTAGAACTGCTTTGAGGCACCAGTACTGAAACCTAACGGCTCCTTGTTAAGGAGCGAAGACACATCACGGCTTTGCCTGGTTATTTTAGGGGGGCTGAGAGATTCTCTTAGATTTGAGGAGTAAGAATGTAAAAACTCTGCCTCCTATTCATAATTTCAAACATAAGAATAACTTTATGAGAACATTTTCTCCTTTTTTAGTACAAGCATGGCCACAGGACAAAACAATATTTATGCAGCACACCTACCTTACACCCAAAATAAGGCTAGCTTCTCGCCTACTCATTTTCTCTTCAAATCCTCCTTTATAGTAGGATGAAAGGCTCTGTGCAGGAAAGAAAGACCAAGAAATAATTAGTTCCATGTATGCAGTAGCCTGACCTCAGTCCCATCACATAGCTGCAGTAAGAGTGATGCATTTTACTAGCAGTCAACTTGAAATTATAGGGGGGGAGGGGAATTAAACAACGATCCTTCACAAAACACCATTACCAAGATGAACACTTAAAAAACGTTAACTTTTGGGCCAGCAGAGTGGCACGTTGGTTAAGAGTTGGCTTGGGAGCACCAGCTCTGAGCAGCAGGGCCCTGGTTCGGATCCCACATTGGCCAGTAATGCTGTGCCCTCTACAGCTAAGATGGTGAACAACAGTTCGACCTGGAGCTGGGCTGCCGTGAGTCGCCGGCGACGGCGTGGGCTGCAGTCGCTGCTGCAGTGGACTGATGTAAGCTACCGTGAATGGCCAGCAGCCAGCGTTAGCGGCTGGCAGCTGACATGAGTGGCCAAGAGCCGCCAGGGCCCAGCAACCGATCTGCCTCGCCCAGGAAGAGCGCAATAATACCAACATGGGCCAGTGAAGCGACATCCTCCACAACTAGACTGAAGAACAAAAGGACAGCAACTTGTCTGTTCCCCTTCCCTGATTCCCCAACACTATTCCCCTCCCCAACTCCCCAATAAAATCTTAAGGAAAAAAAAGTTAACTTTTTTTCACTTTCAAATACAATAATTTTTCTACACTGAAATATAACTGAAAGAATAAAAGATTGGTAGACGCAAAAGGCTTGAAACTTTTTCTAAGTCCTGCAGTAATTCTCTCCTTGGATAACCTTGACCAAGTCATTTATTGGTGCTACGGCAGACATCTTTTTCACCTACAAGACTGACTGATAGGGAAAGCAGAGGAGGAACCAACAAAGTGGGGAGGATGTCAGGGTCGCAGATGGGCGGGCCAAGGGAGACCAGCGAACTGGATGGAAAGGTCAGCGTGGCTGGGGGGGACGTGAGCAGGGTGGGTGGTGTTAGAGAGGTAATTGGGGCCGGTGGGCTTGGAGGGTCGTAAACAATGGAAACAATTCAGGACCTTATTCTCAATGGTAGGAGAAGCCAGGGCACTGGGGTAACGCAACTGGACTGTTTTGAAAGGGTTACTCTAACTGCCACGTGGGAGGGCCTAACAGCGAGCTAGGCAAGGGGTGACGGCGGTATGGACCAACGGGGTAAAGGAGGTAATGAAAAGTGGTCAGATGCCGGATGGATTCTGAAAGCAGGACTGGCATTTGCTGGTGGACTAAACGTGGACATGAGAAAAGGGGGGGAATTAAAGAGATGCAGTGAATACTGTTATACACTGGGCAAGTCCCCCTCGGAGGTGAAAGTCTTACTCCTCAGATGCTGAGCTCTGCGGGCAGATAGCTCTCAGCTGCCAAACAATTTGGGAATGGCCTTGTCTGAAGAGAATCACGCCCACGCCGCCTTCCCAGGGCAGGCTCCTACAGCGGGCTGACGTGGGGTATAACCATTCTAGTTACCTAGGGCTCAGTCCTTGGACCTCTTACCTATTTCACTGCCCAGGTGATGTGATTTAGTCTTATGGCTCCCTGCCCCAACTTGGGACAAGGACAATGAGTCCAAGCTCCCCATGGGGTAGGCTGAGGCCTTTGTTAAGACTGCACTGCAGCCTAAATTGTCCCTCTGTCCTTTGGTCCTTTGTCCTTCTCCTCCCTTATAGCTTTGAAACAGCTCTTAGCTGTTGATCCTAAGAGCACTCTCTAATAAACTAACAGCTTGCTAATCTTTGTCTCAGCCTGCATTCCAGAGAACTTAAACTGCAAATGACTTCCAGGTTTCTGGTTTGAACCGCCAAACTGCCATGTAATGACTTAGAGAAGGAGCGATTGTTTGTTTGTTGTGGGTAATAGATCAGGAGATTGGTTTTGACTGTATAAGTTTAAAATGCGCATTAAATATCTAAGTGGAGGAGAAGTCTGACCTGGAGATAGCATTTGGGAGCCGTGGGTATGACAGTATGTAAAACCCCAAGCCTGAATGAGGTCACTTAAGGAGTGAGTGTAGCCAAGTCCAAAGGCTGACCCCTAGAGACTACCATGCTTAGTGGCATAGAAATGGAGGAGAATCAGTAGGAACGTGAGAAGACCCGGCAATGAGGCAGGAGGAAAACAAGATGCCAAAAGTGAGGAAGGGAAAAATAGTTTCAGACGCTTGATAGGTCAAGTAAGACGCGAGCTGAGAACTGACAGCTGGATTTAGCAGAGTCAAAAATTTTTATGAGAGTGGGAGTGAGTCTGATGAGAGTGAGTTTAGGAGAAACCAGGAGGACGGGATGGGAGAGAGCAAGTAAACAGCTCTTAACAGAGAAATAGGATCCATAACGCAAATTTTGGAAGGAAAAAAATGCACGTATATTGAAAGCATACATGTTTCTAAAACGTGAACTTGTGTTTTTATATGAGAAAATAAGTGTATGCTTACATAAAACAAAATGTAAGCATAAAACAAAATCTGAAAGTACATACACAAAAATGTTATTTTGGGGTGGTGGGATTACAACATTTTTTCTTTTCTTTCTTTTTTTTTTTT